CCCCGAGGATTGAGATCAACCTGGTAGACTCAGTCCAGGCAGGACCAGTCCCCTCCTCCCAGGCCGAGCCAAGCAACCCTGCATAAGCCCCAGGTGTCAAACAGCCAACTCATGCATGAGCACAGGACCCAGTCCCACTGCCTGGATGCTTCACAAACAGATCAAGCCAATCAACTGTCTCACCTATTCAGAGGGCCTGATCCAGTTGGGGGCCCCTCATAGTTCATGTGTTTCCATTCGTTTGGCTATTTGTCCCTGTGCTTTATCCAACCTTGGTCTCAACAATTCTCGCTCATATAAACTCTCCTCTTTCTCGCCAATTGGACTCCCAGAGCTCCACCCGGGGCCTAGCCATGGATCTCTGCATCCAGATCCCTCAGTCATTGGATGGGGTTTCTAGCACGACAATTAGGGTGTTTGGCCATCCCATCACCAGAGTAGGTCAGTTCGGGCTGTCTCTCGACCATTGCCAGCAGTCTATTGTGGAGGGATCTTTGTGGATTTCTGTGGGCCTCTCTAGCACTTTGCTTCTTCCTATTCTCATGGTCTCCTATTCCTTGTTCTCCCTCTCTGTTCTTGATCCAGCTGGGATCTCCTGCTCCCCCAAGCTCTCTTTCCCTCAACCCTCGCCCTTCATTGGAATTTTTTTAAGATAGTAGTGGAAATTAAACCCAATGCTTTACTTGTGTTGGGCGAGCTCTCTACCTGACTTTTAAGTGGGGAGGAGGTGGCACATACTTTTAATCCTAATTTTTTTTTTTTACTTGAAACTTAGAGAATTTTCCTGCAATGTTGGCCAGTCTGTTTTCCCATTACTTCTTGATAATTTATATTTTCTAGTTAATATGATTATATGTAGTTATATATTACTTGCATAATTAAACATCTCCAATCGGTGAAGTTTAGTTTTTTTTTTTTTTCTTTTGTTGCTTTTGAGGTAGCATATCACTGTATATCCCAGGATGGCCTCAAACTCAGGATTCTCCTGCCTCAGCTTCTTGAAGGCTCTAATTATAGGTGTGTGCTACAGTGCCCAGGTAGAGATTTAGTTTTCTGCATGAAAATCTGCACATAAGAAGAGGGACAGTTACCATACTATATCAGTGAACAGAGATCTGTATAGATTCATGAGTGACAGATGGTATGGGGAGTGAAAAACAGTGAGAGCAAGAGACAGAGTGGGGAAGAGGTCAAGGAAGAGGAAGAAGAAGTGAAGGGGAATAGGAAGAGGAAGGAGAAGAGGAAAAGGACGAGGAGGGCAGGGGAGAAAGATAAAGAAGGAAGGAGAGTGAGGTGGGGGAGACAGTACCGAGAAGCATTGCAGTGGTCTAGTTACTATTGTCATTACACTTTTGGGGCCGTAAATGATCAGAGCTGACAGCTCAAAAAGATCATACTGGAACATTTGCCCTGGGTTCGGACACTGTGGTCATCTAAAGACACAAATTCATGTTTTCATGGATTGTCTGGAGCTTTGAGGCCCAGCCTTCAGCTCCGCCTGTGAGGTCCTGCTTGCTCGGTTCTCCTCAAAATGCGAGCAGCAGGAAATATTAGATAAAAGGATTTAGATTGTGGTGATGAACAGATAGAAAATACAGGATAGCCTTGAGAGGGCCTGGAACCTATTCCAATGAGTCCTGACTGTCTCTGTCCTAAGGTATGTATAGAAACGCCAAGGAGTAGAGCAAAAGACCTCCTCCCAGCACAGCCAAGTCGGACCATCTCAGACACCTGCACTCAGGCCTGTGGTCCAATCATCCTCTCTATGCAGACCTCCTGGGTAAAGCTACAAGGAACCTGAAAATGGGCTCCCGCACTTATTTTACCCCTTTATTAAAATTACATAAAAATGGCACTTTCTTTATATTTACCTCATGCTTAAATATAATCCCACCCCCCATTCCCCATTAAATTTATATATCTTGGGGCTGGAGGGATGATGGCTCAGAGGTTAAGAGCATTGGCTGCTCTTCCAGAGGTCCTAAGTTCATCATGGTGACTCACAACCATCTGTAATGAGAGCTGGTGCCCTCTTCTGGTGTGCAGGCATAACACTGTATATATAATATA